TTTCCGATTTCTATTGGTTCGCTTACATTATTGTCTGAAATATTAGTTTCTTTTGCAATTTCTTTTACTAGATAAACTTTACTTGCACTCTTTATCCTAAAAAATGATTCTGAACACCCATGACAACTGGAATGTGTCTGCCTTTAATGCTCTCTGCAATGAGTCGCGTCAGCTTGTCCTTGCCTCGAGGATTAAGATGCAAACCATGGACAGTATGTTCGCTCCTCAATATTGAAGAGACATCAGTCGCATCAATGTGGGCCGCTCCGACCTCCACAAGCGAACGCTCAAGCCAAAGATTAATCTCCCTTACACACCTGTTAATCCAGGCATGTAAGAAGTCAGCATACAGCAGGTTAATCATGACAGCTGCAAAAGAAATATCAAAATATAGGTTAGATTTAGTAGGAGCACAGGAAGTCAGATAGGACAGAGGTGGCACTGAACCTGCAGGCAAATATATATTTTTATGTTGAAAGTGTAATGACAGTCATGAATTGGGTACAGCTTTTTGTGCTTAAGAGAATCATATCAGCAGTTAAGGTGGTAGAGTGTTTTATTGTTGTCATCTGTCAATTCTCATGGCCAAAGAAAGAACATTTTATGACAAGTTTGTGTTAATTTTTATTATCCATTGTTTGAGTGGTTTTGTACATGGTTGTACAGACTATGACAGGTTGGTATATTGTGCACACATTGAAGAATGAGAAATACAAAAATTTGTACAGAAAATCTGAAAGAAAAGACCACTTGGGAGACCTGTGTACAGCTGGAAGGATACTCTTATGATAGATTTGAAATAAATAATTTGGAATGGTTTGGACTGGGTTTGTTTGTCTCAGGCTGCAGAGTCGTAATGGGCATGTGTGTATGCAGGAGTGAACCTTTAGCTACCATAAGAAACAGATACATTCGTAATTGCCACAGTTATCATTAATTTATCAGGAAGATTTCTGCTCAATGATCTTAATACTGTGTAATGGTTATGAAAGCTGTAGAGAAGAAATCTGCACAAAACAGCTGTAATGAGTTAGATGTAATGAAGAATGGCCATTGCAAGTAGAGTGTACTTTTTTATATAGTGTGTTTGAACTGCCATGATTGGTAAAGATATGATGTTTTACAGAACTATACAAATGTAGAGAAATATGTGCTGGGCCCATGCGATGAAATGTACCAAATATCTGATGATGTTAATCAGGCCAAGAATATGAAGGCTGAGGATGTCTCTGATGCAGAAGAGGAAGAGGATCCTGTGCCAATGCCAGTTATGAAAATAAAGGCTGAAACTCAGGTGAGCTGTATGACTATATTCCCAGTGTTAGGAAGATATCACAGATATCTGGCAGAAACGCCAGTTGTCTGTATAGAATACATTTCTCTGTCTGTGCACATGAGGTGACTTCACACTGTTAACTGGATCTGAAGACCTTCTTCTTAAATATCTGTAGGTAATTGTACTTTGTTGAATGTTGCTTGTGATCACTTCCATTTTCTTTTAAGCATATCTAATATAATTGAAATCAAACAGTATGTAAAGTGAACAATGATTCTAGGAAATTTTGAAGCTTCAAAAACTTTATATACTTGGGCAACTATCCCCAGTTACACTTATGTCATAAATAGATATCAAGGATACAAAAAATCCTACTTTCTCTTACAATAAGAGGGCAAGGAATTGTACTGCCGAGAGCTGTAGAAATATTTCCTACTGTGAAATAAAGCATGCTGAATGTTTTGTGCTCATGTGCTCAGGAAAGCGTTTTATTGTCATGTCAGTTCTCTTGGGCAAGGGAACCAACTTTTTTTTGGCAAGCTAGTTTCCATAATGCATGTTGGGAGTTTCTTGCAAATGGCTGTAGACATTATGAGACTTTGGTAAATTATGTACGAGAGTGACGAATTGAAAGGAAGTCATATAGCACCCACATTAGAATGAGAAATGCATTCAAAGGTTTCCACATAAATTCTGAAAGAAAGAGACCTCTTTACAGACCTGTGTGCAGCTGGATGGTTCATCTTATAAGAGATTTTAGATAATTTGGGAGGGTTTGGACTGAATTTTTTTTGGCTCAATACAGAACCGCAGTGAGCACCTGTGCATTCAGGAAGGTCCGTATGCCATGAGCTACAATAATGTCTAATGATTTTAACACTTTGCTGTGCGCGCACCCTTTAAAAGGTTTTTTGCTTTTAAACATGGCGGGCTGTTCGTGTGTTAACAGGTTTTTAAAACACGATAAGTTGCAACACACTATACATCTCTGGCTCCACCTAGCTAGCACGTAGCTGCTTGCAGCTGCGTTATAAGTCTCTGCAATGTTTGCTGACCAATCAGTTACTAGACCTCGCTGTAATTCTATGCCCCTGCAAAGGAAAATAAATGCCTTTAGTTTTTCAAGCTTTACGTAGCAAGCTATCAGTCAGTAGTTCAATATGGATCAAAGACCAAAGCGGTTGACACCCAAGCGATTTCTTGGAGAACAAGAAGTATCTGACTTCTTATCCGATGAGCTATCTGACGTTCCTTGTGAGTCTGCTAGTGATAGCGACTCACAATCTGATAGTGAGTGTGGCAGGGGCGAACAAAAAATTGTGACCACAGACAGTGAAAGTGAATGTGACTGTAGCTGTGACGAATGTGTGGGTAGCAACATTGTGGGGACAGCCACATGAGGAAAAGTAGACAAAATGCCTGCTTTGGGACAGTTGCTGGAAATCCAGGGGTGAAACAAATTCAATTGGATCCAACGCAAGTGTCTGAAGTAGCGGAACTGTTTTTTGGAGATAGTTTCTTTGACATGCTATGTCAAGAAACTAATAGATACTATCTTCAACACCGTGAACTTTATGACTGAAATTATAAGGCATTGAAGTGGGTGGATGTCAGTTCAGCAGAAATGAGAAAATATTTTACAATTGTCTTTCTAATGGGCCATACAGGAGTGATAATCTGAAAGAGTATTGGTCAACAGATCCATTTTTAGAAATTCCAATTTTCAGCAAACTAATGAGCTGTAAGAGATTTGAGCAAATTTGGTGGTGTTTGCATTTCAGTGATAATGAACTGCAACCAAAATCAACAAGCAGGCTTTTCAAAATTCAGCCCCTATTGAACTTTTTCGTTCAAAAATTTCATACAGTTTATAAGCCAAACCAACAACTGTCTTTGGACGAATCTGTGATTCCTTGGAGGGGAAGGCTTCGTATGCAAACATGTAATCCTGGGAAACTTACAAAGTATGGCTTACTTGTTCGTGTAGATACTGAAAGCACTTCAGGCTATATTGGAGATTTATAAATTTATTCTGGTGAAGGAAAGAAATTACAAGAAACTATTCTTTCCATTTTGGAACCCTATCTTGATCAAAATTACCATGTCTATCAAGACAATTACTATAACAGTGTGGCAACTGCAGAACACCTATTTTCGAGAAAAGTATGTGTTTGTGGAACAATTAGGGTGAACGGAGGCCTTCCTCCAGATCTGAAAGGGGGCTGTAAATGTTTGACAAGCTTGTGTTACTTTTCATAATCCATCTGGGGAGTTTCTATACAAATGGCTGTAGACATAATAATAGTTTGGAATATTATTTAGGGGAGTGATAAATTGAAGGAAGGTCATGTAGCACACATGTGAGAATGAGAAATGCATACAAAAATTTGTACAGAGCACCTGAAAGCAAGAGACCACTTAAGGTACCTCTGTTCAGCTGGAATGATACTATTATATCATTTTAAATAGAATTTTGAAGGGGTTTGACTCAGGTTACATAGCCATGATGAGCATGTGTGAATGCAGGAATGATCCTGGTGGTACCATAAAAAGCAGATATTTTGCATACTGCTCTAGTGACCACTAGTTGTTCAGGAAGGTCCCTGTGCCATGAACTTTATAGTGTCACAAAATTTTGAAAGCTGTTTGGAAACAGATCTTATTAGTTAGGTGTAATGAGAAACAGCCATAGCAAGGATAGTGTACCTTCTCTCAAGTAATTTGGTTTTACAGCCATGAATGGTAAAGATGTAATGGTATTACAAATGTATACAAATTTAGAGAAAGATGTGCAGAGGCCATGTTGTGAGACACACCCAGCATCTGATGATGCAAATCAGGTGAAGAATATGAAGGCTGAGGAAGTCTCAGATGCAGAAGAGGAAGAGGATCCTGTGCCAATAATATTTCCAGAAATAAAGAATGAACCTGAGGTGAACTGTATGTCTATATGTCCACTGTTAGAAGACATCACAGATATGCAGAAATGCCAGTTGTCTTTCTCACTTTTGAATAAGGAATATACTCTAATGAATGTTCTGAAGGCCTTGGCTTCGATCATTTCTATGTGCAATCTCCATGTAACTCTCCTATCAAAGATTACACCTAGATATTTTGCACTATTTACAAATGGAATATTTCATCCCTTTAGAGTAAGACTAGACTTAGGCGGTCGATGACTATGAGAGAAATAGACCCCCTGAGTCTTATCTTCATTAATTTTAATGTTCCAGTGCTCAAACCAGGTCTCCATTGAGCTGAGACCACGCTGAAATTTTCTGACAAATTCCTCCTTGTGATCTGTCACATACAGACAGGTGTCATCCGCAAAGACAGCCAGGTGAACACCAAGAGTTTGGGGTCCATCATTAATGTACAGATTGAAGAGACTAGGGGACAGTCTTGAATCTTGTGGCACTCCTGCTTGCATTTCCCTTGCCGTTGACATTTCTCCTTCAACTGAAACACTGAATTTACGTTGAGAGAATAATGATGCAGTAAGTTTGGTCAAACTGTTTGGGTATTGCAATTTTGATAACTTGTACAGCAAACCTGCATGCCATGTGGTATCAAAGGCTTTTTCGATGTCCAAGAACACCGTGGCCATAGACATTTTATTATTGAAATTAAGGGTCACATGGTCCACCAGCCTCATACATTGCAATGTTGTACTGTGACGTGCACGAAATTCAAACTGGTTGGCATTGAACAGACCTCTCTCTTCAATAAGTTCTTGAAGTAATTTCAGAATGACTTTTTCGAATAGTTTTTCTGTCATGGACAGCAGGCTGATTGGACATAAATTTTGCAGGAATTTCAGGTCTTTACCGGGTTTAGGTAAAGTTATCACTTTGCTTCCTTCCAAGTATTTCGAAAATGAGTGAGCCAAAGACAGTGGTTGAATAAATGAGTTAGGTGAACCAATGGTCGCCTTGAAGGTGCCTGAGGCATTAATTTGGGATGCCGTCAATTCCAAAGGCTTTTTGCAGTTTCAGGGAGTTTATTAATTTTTGTACATCACATGGTCTGATCCTTTGAGGGGGACTGTCGACTACGGTTTTGAGCAGAGCTTGAACTCTAGCTTCCACTTGCCGGTCATGGTTTTCGTCACGCAGGACATGCGGCATGAACTGAATTTCCAAACAGTCAGCAATTTCATAGGCTTTTTCAAAAGGATGGAATTTACGGCCAGAAGCACCATGAATAACAGTTGGTGCCCTTGGTTTGTCCATCTTCAAGAGGGATTTTGCAATTGGGCATATACCCTGAAGTGTGACTTAAGCGTTACCTATTTTTGTTTCCCACCGTTGAAGTGCCTTTTTTCGGGTCAGTCGCCTGATTGATTTTGTGACCCAATTGATTGCTGTTTTACATGCTGGTTCCCTGGTTTTTTGCCACAATTTTCATAGCCTCTGCTTATGTTTTAACAAACGATCTAGGCCAGGAATATCGTTGTTTATGCCCAAAAGTGTAACTTTACTTGTCGACAACTTATATGCCGAAGCAATAGATGCTGCAAATTCGCTTGCCGCTTTATCGGCTTCTACTCCAGACTTAATTTCTATTTTAGGTGATATTAACTCAGAAATGAGTCTTTGAAACCGCTCCCAGTCTGTGTATTTTTCCATAGTCTCCGAAAGATTCCTAATTTTAACATGATCCAGTATGTGGAATACTATTGGTAGGTGATCTGAATCCAAAATATCAGAGACAATGACATCTGCCATTCTGATATTTTTGTGAACCACAGTATTCAACATGTCACTATTTCCTGCAGGGGAATAATGAGTGGGGCACTGTGGTGCTGAAATTTCGAATTCACTCATATCAAAGAAATCCATGAATTTCTCACCTGAGGGGTTTGAAACTCTGCTATTCCAAATGTACTGAAATGAGCGGTTGTAGGTCTGTATAGTTATGGGGAATACCTTTTCTAACTGAATGACAGTTCTGCCTTTTCTGCCTGAGTGGCAGTCGGTTCTATAAAAGTGGTAATTTTGAAGAAAGAACCTCTCATG